AGAAGGATCTCTTGTATCTCCACTAAAGCCTTAACACGAGGCAGTGGGTAGGAGCTTTCCAAGTTCAAGCTTGGTGTGAAAAGTCTAGCCATGATGTGAGCAGCAGCAGTCGTGTGAGGCTGAAGTCTGGTTCCACTCTTCCTGGGGTCTTGGTGCAAGCAACCTCTTCTTGGCTGAAGCTGTAGACCAGGTTTCAAGCTCAAGGTGAGTAGTGATCTTGTGTGAAATAGGAAACGAAGGGTTTTTTCCTCTTAAGCCTCTAACATTTTCTCCTTCTCTTCCTCCTGGGCCCTGTTTCTCTTCCAGTTCTTCTCTGCTCTTCCTCATTTACTTGGCTTTCCTGCTTTGGTCTCTTCTCCCAGATGCTGGTGACTGTCCTTCACTTCTGCTAACTGGCTGAGTCTGCAAAGGGGATGTCCTGACTCTTTCCATAGCAAGGTAGAGCCATGGATGGCGGTGCCAGGAGTGCATAGACCGCTGTCCTGGGTAGGACGCATTTCCTTCTCTCAGGCATGCGGTGAGGCGGTAGAGACCAAAGCGTGATCAAGTCCTAGTGGACCACCTCCCTCTAGATGTCTCACCATGGCCTCCATTACCCGATTTATCCAAAACTCTCTCCTACCTTTCCTCTTGCCTTTTCCACTCCTTCCTCCTTATTTTCTCTTCAGCTTAGCTGTGTCCCTTCCCCTCCCTGTTTCTTTCTCCTCCTGACACTCATAGTCTGCTGCTTCTTCAGGAAGCTTTGGTCCTATATTCACATGGAGCTTTCCCGTACAGGCACCCAGAGTTCCTGGTCCTATATACTTCATTTCCCTTTTGCATCGTTTTAATGCTTGTGGCTTTATGCCTAATGACTTCTGTGGGCCATGTGCCAGATGCTGAGTGGTTTTAATGTGAAGAAGGGATTTTACAGTGGATTGAGATTCTAAGACCGCTGCTTCTGGTGTCTGTATCTACCCTGGGAGAAGACCTAGGGCACTGGGAGTAAATGGGAGGTTGAGCTCCTGCCCCGGCGTGAGATATCCTTCCTCTGGTGCTTCCCAGCAGACACCCCTTTTGAACACCTGCCCATCCTCTTGCACCTCTGTGGGGTATTTAGTGCCCTGTTTTGGGCAAAAAGGCCACAAGTGTGGGTTGTAGAGCAGCCTTTGCACAGTGACGGCTGCTTTGGGGCACGGTGGCATCGCCTGGAGAGATCCACGGCCAAGTGCAGTCTGGCTGTAGAAATCTGCGTGATCGGCGGCTTGGCATGGACGTGGGGACAGCTGCACCCTGCAAAACCTTCTCATTGTGGCCACCTTGTGTGTTTACAACCCTTAGTAGCTGGTCCCTGTCCCCTGTCAGGGCTGCACACGCTGCTGGAAGCTGGGGGTTGGTTTTGAACAGGTTGGTAGACCATGCTTTATGGCTGCAAGGAGATGACAGCTTTGCAAGCTTGCTGAAGGGGTTCCCAACACTTTGGAGACCTTTTTGCTGCGTCCCACGGGGCAGTATCGGTCCCGTGCTGCCATGTGTCCTGACGACCCACTCCTAGCCACCTCTAGCTCCATCCGCGTGCAGACATGGTTGCACCCCTTGTTGGTGCAGCCTGGCAGTGCCAACACTGTCAGGGGGAAGGTCCTAAGAGCGAATCCCCCAACCCTCCCAGCCCACTGCGCAGGCTGGGAAACCACTGAAACCTTCCAGGTTGTCAGTGATTCATATGCAAATGCTGGGAGCAAGCAGGATGCCAGCTTGTGCCCTGCATCCCAGCGATGGGAGAGGAGCAGAGAGGAGCCCGCCAGCAAACGCGGCAGCGGTGCCCCGCAGAAAGGCGATGAATATTTCTCTTCTGTCTAGCGTGGAATAACACAAGTTGTTCAAAGCCATGCTGGGCAGCGGAGGGAAGGCTGGCTGCATCAGGCTGGGAGGTTTGGCAATCTTCAACACAAGGGTTACTTCGTGGAGCTTCCCCAGGACTGCTTTGATCTCTGCTACCAGCATTTACAAATTCAGCCAACAACTGGGATCAAGTTGCAGGGGAGGGTGCAGAAAACCACACGGGGCAAACCTCCCCTTCTGTCCTCATTATCCTCAAGGACCTAATTACCTAATTATCACATGTTAATGAGAGGGACTGCAGCTCCCCTCCCTGACCCAGTCCATCCCTGCCCTGGGCGTCGTTTTGCTCACGGAGCTGTATTTTATTTATCGGCTTTAGTGTGGTTTCCAGCGAGACGGAGTCTCTCTCAAAGGAATCGTCCCACCTGGACCTCAGTTTGCTCTCCAGATGGCTCGGGCCTCTTAAGCTGCCCTGCTGTGATATATTTTCCCTGAGCTGCGATGGGTTTTCCCTGGGTCCTGGCTCCTCCCTGGCTGGCTGTTATTGACAGCTGCATGGCTAATGCCCTGTAGCTCCCTGGCATGTCATTCAGGAGAAACAAAAGCAGATTTCTCCCCCACCTCTCTGGCAGTGGGGATAAAGGGGATGCTTTTGTGCTTCCCCAAGCATTGCTGGAGAAAGGCTGAGCGTGTTTTGCAGAGGGGACCTGTCTTCTCGCGGAGCCCCGACGTGGATGGGAGCTCTCTGAGAGGGAAGCTGAGTCGTTGGTAGGTCCCACCTGAAGGACACAACCTGTGGGCCAGGTAACGTTGGACATCTTGCACTAGCAGTTGGGGAGGTTTGAAAAAAAAAAAAAACCACAGCAAACCCACAGCACTTGCTGCTGCGTGATACTTGGATGGAGAGGGTGACCCAGAGAGGAGTGTGCATGGGTGAGGGCAACGGGGCAAACCCGCTCTTTCTCTGCTGTTAGCATCGTTTGTCTCCTGGGTAGATGGGGGGATGTGAGCTGGAGAAAGGCATTTGGATTAACTGGGGAGGGAGAGGGGCTGTCTCTTTGTAAGGAGGTCAGCCCGAGCTGTTTCTTCCCAGTGCTGTGCCGTGCGTGACCCCGACGGGTCGGAAACGCCTGCGGATCAGGGAGAGAAGCGAGACTGTGGGACTGTTTGTCTTTCTCGGCTGGAACTGCGTGTGTTGGCAAAACGTGGGGTCTGCCATGCCTTTTGCAAAGGCATCTCTAAAGAGCTGCCTTTGTTGTAACTTCTCTAAATCGCTTTGAACCGACCGACGGCGGTTCCCTTCTGTAGACAGCCCTGAGTACCCGTCAGTGGCGTTTGGGGCGTTTAGAGCCTTCACCCGCTCCCACGGGATTTCTTAGGTATTTGGTTAGGGCTTGTCATGCTGCTTCACTGCCCTTTAGGTCTCCGCAGCTCCCCCGTGGCATGGGCAGAGATGTTCCCCGTTGCTGGGCGATTCAGGAGGCACAAAGGATACGGTGACACTTTCTCGGACCGGTGGGGTGAGGGTCCTCAGGACTAGAGTTGGTTGTCCTGCTCACGGCTACCCCGCTGCAGGTGCGGCCAGGAGGTGAGAGGTGGGGGAATCTGAGCACCTTTGGGGTCTGTGGCCAGACACAAAGGCTGTCTGGGAGACGCAGGTGTAGGAAAAGAGATGGAAGGCTAGAGATGTGACAGGGATTTTGACTCATGAGAAATTCAAGGTAATCCTCCTCAAAGCATGTGCTACCTCCTTCCTGCAGAGGAGTGTGTGGACGCCACAAAGCCGCTGATGTCCGGTAACGCGTCACCCCAGTGGGGACTTGTGCTCCCGCTGGAGGCTCATGGTGAGATGCTCCAGAGCCTCACTTAGTGCGCCCAGAGTCTGAGCCCCCCGCCAGGCTCTTTGCTGTTACAGAGCCTCAGAAAAACAATCTAAAACCTGCATGGCCGCAGTGGAAGATGTGATCAGGGGTCCTCTGCTGCCTGCCTTCACTGGCACCCCCCCCAAGGAGTGGTGCTGATTCCCTGCCGTGCTTTTAAAATGCAGGTGGTGGCATTGCTGTGCCCCTTTGATTTAACATCCAGCTGGTGGGAGCAGTGGGGCAAGCACGGGGAGGCTCAGGTTCAACCCCCTCCTCGCTCTTCCTCCCAGCATCTGGGTCTGTGCAACAGTGAAGGGTCAGGGCAGGTTTTTTGTGGAGGAGTGGAGGAAATGGGGTAGATCCAACCTGCTAGTGGGTCTAGGATGGTCGAGGCGGTAGTTGAGGCGTTGGGGTCTTTGATTCGCTCACCATTGTCACAGATAGTCAATTCATGTCATTATTTCAATGCTCCTCCGCTTTTCAGACCCCACCTCTGCAGGGGTTCCTCTTTACAGGTGGTCTGGCTGCCTGCCCCCCACTTGGGCAGGGATCACCCTTCTGGATGTGCAGCTATTTGCAGCCTCCAGGTTGAGCACATGACTTTCCCTATCCTACGGGGATGGGTCACGCCGCTCACGCTGTCAGTGTGAAATGTGAACCGTTACAGATCGAATGAGAGAAGTCTGCTATTTTTTGCAATTACTTTATGAAGTCCTTTAAGGAAAGATTTTAAATCTTCTGGAGAACAAATTGAGCAGAAAGGTATGTCAGAAGTAGACATCTCCTCTGCTTTTGGGCAGGTCGTGTCATAGCTACCTTTGGCAAACCTCAGTCTCACATTTGTACCTCTGGATTTTTGCCTGGAATAAGACATCTGGGGAAACACAGTGGATAAAGAAAGTCTAAACACTGCATTGCTCCCAGCTGGGCTGTACCATGGAGTACTTGCAGTTTATAAGAGCTGTGAGATGTCAGAAAGAAAGGAAAGAAAAAAAGGTGTTAGTACAGCAGAGGTTGGGCAAGGCAATTGCCTTAGAAGAAATATCTTATAAATGCAGAAGAAATTGGTCTACCGGGAGGCGCTTGGATCGGAAATACCCTAATGCCCATCACTGTGCTGTGGTTTGGAGGAAATGTTGGTTACTGAGGATGACTCCTGTGTGGATGAAGGGGCAGAGTCTGACGAAATTTTGGCTAGAATCTGTACTTCCTCATGGCACTGAGAAAGATGCAGAAATCATGATGGTGTTGGACATCATGGTCAGGTATTTTAATAGTATACTGTTCTCTTGCCTCCTTTACTGCTTCCCAATCAGGATGCATCGAATGATGAAAGAAGAATCAAGTTTCAGGACGAGCAGCCTGGAAAATGTGACACGGGACCCGAGCAAAGAAAAGCTGCACATGAAGCTCTGCAGTGGATCCTGCCACGCTGAGCAAATCCTCCAGACACTAAACTCCTACCGGCAGAGTGGCATCTTCACAGACGTGGTGCTGTTAATTGATGGACAAGAATTCCCCTGTCACCGTGCCGCTTTGTCAGCCAACAGCACATATTTCCGGGCCATGTTTGGTGGCAAACTTAAGGAAGGCCACCAGGATATCATCAACATCCAGAAGATTTCTGCTTCTACCATGTCTCTCCTTCTCGACTATATGTATGGGGGGAACATCATCATTCAGGAGGACAATGTTGAAAGCATCTTGGAACTGTCTGACTTGCTGCAGATCTCCAAGCTCAGAGATGCTTGTGTCACCTTCCTTGAAGGCCAGCTTCACCCATGCAATTGTTTGGGTATCATGAAGTTTGCCGATTCATTCTCCATTGTGTCCCTGACAGAAAAGAGCAAGAGGTTCATGCTGGAGTGTTTTGTGGAGGTGTCGTGCCATGAAGAGTTCCTGGAGATGGGTGTGAAGGAGCTGGTTGAATATCTGTCTGATGAGCAGCTGGTGGTCCCCAAGGAGGAAGTGGTCTTTGAAGCAGTCATGCGCTGGGTACGGCATGACGTACCTGCCAGGAAGGGAGCCTTGAAGGACCTCCTTGAGCATGTGCGTCTGCCCCTGCTTGATCCCACCTACTTCCTGGAGAAGGTGGAAATGGATGGACTCATCCAGGACTCAAAGGAGTGCATTCCTCTACTGCATGAAGCCCGCAAGTATTACATCCTTGGGAATGAGGTCAGCTCTTTGCGATCAAGGCCCAGAAGGTAAAACAGAGGTCTTCTTCCCTAGACCTGCATGGCCTAAGTTGATGGATCTTAAAGTT